CCATTTTTAAAGACTTTGGTATGTCTCGGCCAGGGGACAGAACCCAAAGCCTTCCTCACAGGGGCGAACGCTCAACAAATGGCCAAAAGTGAGGCATTGTCAAGGGAGACATTAGGAAGAAGAAAGTTATTTAGAAAGGAGAGAAGAGATAAGGTCCCAAATTTAGTCGCCTCTTACGATCATGCAATTGGGGGCAGCAGGTACAATTCTTACGCCCTACCTGCAGGGACTCAGTGCTTTCCACCAGACTCTAGTTATATCAATATGATAAAGCTAAAAGTACTTACCACCAGACTCTAGTTATACCATTATGATCAAGCTAACAGTATTTACCGCCAGACTGCAGTTATACCATTATGATAAAGCTAACAGTACTTACCGCCAGACTCTAGTTATACCATTATGATAAAGCTAACAGTACTAACCACCACTCTAGTTATACCATTATGATAAAGCTAACAGTACTTACCGCCAGACTCTAGTTATACCATTATGATAAAGCTAACAGTACTAACCACCAGACTCAAGTTATACCATTATGATAAAGCTAACAGTGCTTACTTTGAAGGGGTTATAATCATGAGCATGTTTAAATGTTGATTTCTGGTCCTTATAACTATTATGGTCAATATACTTTTTTGCAATCGGCACATCAACTAGTAGAAATAAAAATAAGTTTCATATCCTGTTGTAACGAAGTTGACCCTCATGTTTCATGTTATACATATTTATGTACCACTATGGCACCTTGCTTATTCAATGAAATAACAACAAATCATTCTTGTATATTTTGTATGATTACATTTATTATTGATAGTGTGAGTCGTCGACAATGGCAGAGAGAGAGAGACTTTGAGTTAAATATGATATGTCAGATTTACGAGTGTTTAGGTTATACCACGAGGAATGTTGAGTGGTAATGGTAAAGTGTTATTTTAGAACAAAGTAAGGGCGCTGTGTCGCTTGGATGATATATATAGTTGTATTGTTGATGTATTAATTGAACCTTTCATATAAACCTTGATAATTGCATGTATTATAACTGTAGTTACCGTCTTATCGACGAGTCTTGGTGCGTGTTCTGTAGTGTGATGGAGGCTGCCATTGTTGTGAGAGTGCGCATGTACGGAGAGTGACAGTTGTTACGTATTTCCGGTCTTAGAGTTGCGATCACCGAATAGCGGGAGTTTATGAATGTTCGAGTTCGGTAAATAAACGCGATGTTTATTTACAGTTATTCGATTGGTTGTTTATTCTAGGACCGACATACGATGTTTTGATTTGTTGTTGTGCTTGAGAGTGAGTATAAAAGAGCGAGCGTTTGTATTTTCGTTAGACTTACAGACTTTTAGACATAGAGATTTATTGACTTTTACGTATACACTTAGACTTCATTATTCGGACATCATTTATACTTCTTTCGGCCTTTGAAACCTAAATTAACATAACTTATTCAGTCTCATAACTTTGTCACTTTCATTAGGAAAGCTTTATATATATATTATATTCTACTCATACGTGGATTTCTTACCGGAATTACAGTACCGGAGACTTCAGTGTCAAGACCTAGGATAAGGTTAGTGTGTTTGTTGTATGACTACTATGTAAAGATTTGTGTGAAGGATATTCAGAATAACATACTATATATGTGTCATTTAATAAAATCAGTCTATGTGGTACACAAAACTTGAGTTTACTTAATACTTCATGTTAGTTCTACAAAGTACGCTACCAGTACTACGGTTCAAGTCGAGCGTTACCAGCTGGCTTTTGCGAGTCTTGTGTAAGATCGTTGTTTTGCGCTACCAGCAAACGGTCTTGTCTAGAACTAGACGGAGACAATATTGAATGAAGTGACTAGGCGGCTCCGTTACACTGTGATTCGGTGTACCAATTTGGGTACTCATCATGGCTGAAAATCAAATTAAATCTCACTGCGAGTTAGGTGTTCTATTTTTAAAACAAATTACTAAGAATCAAAAAAAAAATCTGAAAATGAACCACCTTGGGCAGTCCTTGTCAAGAATCAATAAACATTCCAGATACAAGATCTGAGTTGTTAAATATTACCGATACACTGTCAAAATTGTACCAGTTGTGGTAGCGTGACGTACTCTATATGTTCCCATCGTACATGTGGGTATGAAGTGACGGAAGTATTAACCCTCCATACATAAATGTAACTAGTCCACCTACAGTTATGCCCATATATATAACGACCAGCATTCCATTGTCCAACATCTAGAATTTGTAATGTACAAAAGAATTTAGCCCTAATTATAAATTTTCCTTAGGTTAATATAATAATTTATCTCGACTTACTTTCAAGATCGCAGGGGTCATATATGTTAAAAACTTCAAAACGTATCTGTTATATCTAAAAATGTGTGCACATCATTTTTCTAACCTATCATGTTCGGGTCAAACATATGCATAGAGAACTTGCCATGGTCAAATGTCAATTTAGGTTATTCTTGTGAAAAAAACGAAAACATAGTGCTTCTGAAATCCTAGGAGTTCTAATTAGATATTTGATATAGATTTAATTAAGTTTGCAAACTTGTATGCTTATTTTACACATGATAACAGTCCAGGTGAGTAAACGACATCTTACTGTAAATTGAACAGCATGGATGGCTGAAATAAAGAAATACCGTGGCATCATATTGCAAAGGGATGGAGTGTAGAGAAGTCCAAGGAAATTTGCCAATAATGCGCAAATTTTTCTGTATTCTTAAGCTGTTTTTAAAAAATAATAATCTTGATATAATACTTTATGCTATTTAATTTATCTGTCAATTGATAATTTGTTTAGATAGTTATTTATTTGCAGGCTACCGGTATATTATTAATCAGATGACTAGAAAGTTAGGGTTGTTAAACCGGACAAATTTCTGAAACCGGTTACTCAAAAAATCTTCCGACCAAGTAACTGGTTAATCGGTTAGTATGTTAATCAAACAACAAAAAACAATAAATACATTATATGTTTAGCAAATGTTCCATTTCCCAACTTTGCATTATGGCTTCCGTTTAAAAACTCTTCTGGCTTTTTATGGTGTGGTCGGCATCTCATTGTAAAACCTTACTATCAAATACAAGAACAACATTCAAACGTGTAGGCCTGAGCGCTGTTTTTATTGCCAAAAATTCGGATTTCGGTCTCATCAATAGGTATAAGCTAGGTAAACATGGAGCTCCCCATTGAGGTAAATAAATGTCCGATTATTCAGTTTCTGATTTTGGTAAACGGTTCACGATCTTCCGACCAAGTAACCGGTTAAAGGTTGACAACACTACTTACTACATGTAGAAAGCTATAAACTTTTGACTCCATCTTGGTGTCTTTCTCAAGTTATGAATGGTTTTCATTGTTACTTTCTAGTTATCACATGACCCATAATGGTCTTTGTTAAATGTCAAAATTTAATTGTAGATTGTCAGCAAGTGTCATTGTTCAACCCTTAGTGATACAGGGGTCTCCTGTGATTCTCTATAACCAATATGCTTTAACTTCATGGTTTTCCAGGGAGGAATTGAACCTGTTGATATGGCTGACAATTGGTTGCCACCAACATTTAGAAAGCATGAGGGTGACAGTGGTGGCAAGTTTCAAAATGAAAAACCTCAACCTGGATCTACACAAAATCAAAGTAAGTGATATTACTGTGATCATACTAGGTACATGTAATCACAAAAAACACCTGGTTTCATTTTGCATTTCATTCTATCTGTAATTGAATTTCTGAAAGGAATGTGTAATAAAACTAATTTTTGAAGTTTTTGATGAAAAATAAGCCTTTTACATGTTAATGATAAATAATTATTCTAGGAAGAAGAAATCATTTATTCAGTAATTATTAATAATCATATGTTTAAGGCTATTGATAGGTAATGTTTATCAAAGTTTTCTATGTCACCTTTGTAGCTACTGAAGATTTCTCTGTGGAAAGAACTTGCACCAGGGTAAAAGTGAAGATAGAGAAACTGGAAGATGAGGAAAAAGAGAAAATGAGCTTCTATCCAAAAGGGAACAGCATCCTTATACACTATCTCTGTAAGCATGATTTAGCAAATCTAGCTGCGGAACAGGACTGGAGACTCATTCTGGAAAAGATGGACAAAAAACTTGTTGCTAAACTCCTGATTAAAAAGGAAGTCCTGATTGAGAACTGTAGCGATAGAGTCAGAGAGTTAATTGTAAAGGCTCTTCCCAACTTACATCAAGAGAAATGCTTCCTTTCATCTCTTAGCAACAAGGAACCTAGCGACAGAGACCAAGGTTACAAGGATCCGCTACAACAAGCTCTTGCTTGTCTTGTTCCATTGATCAAAGCTGGTCAAAATCAGGCTGACGTTCTGTATGACAAGGATTTGAATTGTCTGATCATAACAGGCCCTACAGAAACTGTCAAACAGTTACACATGAAGGCAAAGGTCAAGTTGTACAGCGTTACCATGGAGACAGTTTTAGAGTCTCCATCACAAGGATGTTTGTTGAGGACATTTAGAGTCATGGATCAACTGAGAGGTCAGTATCATGGTCTCACAGCGGTTGTACAGGATTGCAACATAAAAGTGACATGGACAGGAACTGAAGAGAACATCCGACAAGGTCGACAAGAGATGGAGAAGTTTATCAGAGAGATAAAAACGGACACATTCTATGTTTCTATGGTGATGAAGAAGCTGCTGTTGACACCAGAGATAAAACAGTACATTGATAGTATACTTCAGAAGGACGGTATCATTTGTGTGTGGCAGGTCATTGAGACCGGACAAATACAGGTTTGGTCAATGAAGGCTTCATCTTCCAAGCGTGTTGGGCTCAAAATTAGAGAAAATTTCAAAGAAGAGACCTTCTTAGTAAAGGACTTTCCGTTTATTTCAGATGTTTCAAAAGTAGGATTTGGTCTCGGTACCGCAGAGATGAACAATTTTTCAGTAGAAGAAACCTCTGACACAGTCCACGTAGCTGCAAAATCTTGTACCATGCAAAAGATTATCCAGTATTTGCAAGATTTAAAGGATAAACCAACTCCTGGAAAACAGCCATCAACCAACCAAGGTAACTTGAGAACAGAAAAATACTTATATTATATATATAGCAATATCTTTAATATTAAGGCAGGTCTGGACTGGACCACCAGTGACAAGTATAGGTAGCTTACTTGGTCAAGAGTTCGAATTTAGGCCTGTCACTGTTGCAGTGATGTGTGTGTGAATCCAGATTTTAAAACATGTTGTCTTTGGACGCAAAAAATAGAAAATAGATGAAAGTGTGTAGTGAACTGGGCTTTGTGACAAATAGGGACCAGTTGTGAATAGTTGTTTAAAGAATTGTTTTGCACTACTCCTTCCAAAGAAATTCTCTGATTTGAATGAAACATTGCACACACAACCCTTACAATGAGGGAATGTGAATAAAGTATATAAATTGGAGTTACCTCACTCTATTTATGGAGTTATGGTCCCTTGATTAAGATAATTTTTTTGCACATTTCTTTCCAAAGTACTGCACAGATTTGAATGATTCTTTTTACACACAACCCTTACATTGAGGTGAAATTAATTAAATAATCTGAATTAGAGTTGCTTCCCTTATTTATGGAGTTATGTCCCTTTGTTTTGGAACATTGTCAGGACTGCTAAAGTACTGCACCAACTCTAATGATACTGGGTACACCTAACACTTGTATTGCTTAAAACTGTTGTTGCAATTCTACCTTCTTACATTCTGCACTGGTTTAATGATGTCACCCATTCGAATGAAGGGAGACATATTGTATTAGAACTCAACAGGTTCTTCTGTTTCTGGTTTTTGTTCTTGTTCTCTAATATGATCTTGTCCCGACTGTAACTTTTAAACTGTTAAAGATATATGATGAAACTTGGAGTATACATGCATCACCCATAGCTGATGTGCAGTGCACTATCATTAGGTCACTGAGGACTTTACCTCAAGGTCAAAGGTAAACAAAAGTTTGATTGTTTCAAACTTTTAAATGTGTACGCCAAGACGATGCCAACGATCCCTCACGTGCACTGTGTCTAGTTTTGCTTAAACTTAGTATGCAAGTATATGATATGGCATTGTTAACTCTATCCAAGCATCATTGGCGACTATGGTTTCTATGCATTTAATAATTTAGCAGTTAGGCATGCAGTTCCTCTAATGAAAAGGTCACATAAAAATACAAGTGGTAAGTTAAAGATATCCTGATAAAACCTGCAGTATATCTGCATTTCTATAACTTCTGCAATTATAACACACTTGTAAATATATTTGAGATATTTTTATTCACTCTAATAAGGATACTGTTGTTATTGACTTTGAACACACAAAAAAAGCCATTTCTTGATGCTGACCACTCTTACTAATTTCCTAGAGGGAGATAACTCCGAGAAGACAACAAGTGGCTGTACTATAGAAGTACGAGGAATGGACAAACAGACATCAAATGACACTGTAGAGCTCTACTTTGAAAGTAAAAGAGCAGTGGGTCGTCCAGTTGACATTGAAAACTTTGATGCATCAAAACGAGAGAAAGACGGCGTCATCTTCATCACGTATGAAAACGAGGAAGGTAATATATCTGTTACTGGTGGACAAGTGATCTATATAGCGGGTTTCACCCTCACTCATTCCACTTAAAATCAAAACAAAAACTTTTGCATTTTTATTTTCAAAAATGAAATGTTACAAATAAGCTATTTTTATATCCCCACTGACAAACTTTATGTGAGTCATGGGACTTATACTGAATAACTACCCATTATCCTGTCTTTGAGAATTTTCATCTCTGAGGTGGCTTTCTGCCTGCACTTGTTAATAACTTTACCTTGAACAAAAATAAATACACCTTAAAACACGTACGTATTTGGGTTCAAATGTCAATGTACTTTAATGTGCATTCTTACAGGTTCAATTTTGGTGAATTTCTCACCTACTCTTTAACTCTACTACTCATTTAAGGGCCAAACACTCATTCATTCCGAGGCTAAATGTCAAGGTCACTTCACTCAATACAATTAAGTATTAAACTTCATTCTGTTTAGCGATATAGTCCAATAATTCTTAACCAAAAAATATGAATTATTGGCTTTGGAGCACTTAATTTGTCCTTTATGGCCACTGCAATGGTTCAGCTCCTTGCAAAGCATTTGGAAAAGGTGTCTTTGGCTACAATAACAGGTCTTGTCTATTTCAGATGCACAACTTGTTCTTGGAAGACAGCACACCTTAGACAAGTCTTCCTTAACTGTGAGATTGTTTGAGGCCCTGGAACCTGTACCCGGTCCTTCATTTTACAAGGAAAAGGTTTTCTTCAGGAACATGAATCCTAAAACGACACGAAAAGTGCTCGAGGATTTTCTGAAATCAAAAGTCAATGTGTCTCCATTAGAACTTTTATACGGAGAAGAGGAGGGTGCAGTCTTGGTTACATTTGATGGTGATCCAGGTATAAAACATTAGCCATCATAAGTCGATTTGTAATTATGATTAATACATTAGCAAAATATTGTGTTAAATAAATTAATGAAATACTCTCCTGGAACAAAGAGATTGGTAAGATTTTCAAAGAGAATCTAACTGTCGACTGATAAGGTGAGATGTCATATCATGTAGCTTTTGTCATCCCCTCGTCAACAGTTTTCTTAATCTTAAACTTCTCTGATAAACTGCTGAACAGAATTGCCCCAAATTATCAAATTTAATTAAAGTATCTTTGGCTGGTAGGAATAGATGTATTTTTTTCCCAGTAAGGGACGAGGGGGGGTGACTAAGGTGCATGTCAATAAGGGGTAGTTTGGCAATATTGCTTCAAGGGGACTTCTCTGCTGGAACTATAAGATGGATATCAACCATGTTTGGTTGAAAACATTCTCAGGTAGTGTGGATTCACCATTTTACAAGTGAAGGGACAGAGTAATTTGGATAAATTGGTATATTACTGACACTGACTTCTCTTCTGGAACTATGATATAGATCTCAACCAAATTTGGTTTGAAGCATTTTCAAGTGGTGGGAATTCAAAATCATTCTAACAAATTGGCTGATGAACTGGGGGTTGTATGACAGCAAGGGTTATTTGGACATATTGCTTTCAATCTCCTTTCTTGGGAGTGTGAGAAAATTATCAACCATTCTTGGTTGCAAGCATTATCAGGCCATTTCAAATCCTTACCTCAATATTTGAACAAAATAGGAACACAATTGTGCTATCAAAATGGCCTTAGGGGTTTGTTCTCTCTAGAACCCCGCTATACAAGCATTGCTACAATTACTGGGAATGACAAGCCACGTACAGTTATGCTACCAGGATTGGACCTGGAGTCCGGCCATGCCCCTTAGGACTATATAATACAAGGTGACTGATACAAGCCTCTTGTTAATAAGTTGATTACCCTATTATAAGAGAAGCCTTCATTACAGATATAAATCTGTCCAAACATAGTAAATTCAGATAAAATTAAAAATAGCACAACGGTACATGTCTTTTTCATTTCCTTCTTTTATGTTTTAATAGTCTGAAAAAATTCTGACTAAATTCTCTTTAGATTTTGAAAAATTGAAGAATGCCTGTCAAAATTCAAAATTGGAAAACTGTCTGCTGGAGGCAATGCAGGTGCCAATATCTCACAGTGTCCTTGTCAGTGGGGTCGGAAAAGGTACAAGTCTGGACACCTTGGAATTTTATTTTGAGAACAGCCGCAGAAGCGGTGGTAGTGATGTCACTGAGGTCAAGGAGATATCTGACAGATACTTTCACGTCACTTTTGAAGATCCTGGAGGTAAGGTTACTACACACAATGTAGATAAAACGTAGTACAGTGTATATTTGACCTAGTAAGTGTTCTCTACAGCTTTTTCTTGTCAGAGTGTACCATTCTTTCACAATAGCTGTAATTTACTTTCAATATTTGAAGAAGAAAAAATTGATTTCAGTGTTTTATTTAGTGCTGTAAGTGAGAACCCAGCTAGTACCCAAGTATGGGTCAGTTTTGATAAAAAAAAAAACAGGTTTGAGCGCGTACTCTAATTATATAAAACTCATCTTAATAGAAATCTCCCTAACAGCGTCTGTGTCAACAAAGTAGAGGAATGAAACCATCTAGGCCAGGTTTTTTTTAAACTTGCAAGAGATGAACACTGTATTCTTGCAGAATTTAATGATTCAACTTTTTTATCCTGGTGAGCAAATCAAATCACCCTTCATCCGCGGTCCTTCCTTAAACAATTCCCGTTAGCACTATTTTCAGAAAGCACTGATGGGATCTTTCTCAAATTACAGATGTAGGTTCCCCATGATCCTTAGTTTTTCATATTAAAGTTTGAAACTGATTGCAAAACCAAAATGGCCAACAGGCAGCCATCTTGAATTTGATAGTTATAGTTTGTATAAGCAATACTTTTCAGAAAGTACTAAAATTTCACAGACTGATCAGAGGAACAAGATTGCTCCCAGACAAACTGAACAGAGAAAAGAAAAGATAAGAGGGAAGAAAATAAAGATTGAACTGACATAGACTTAATGAAGACAGTACAATAGTTGGCACCAAGATCCCTCTTGGATCTTTTGTTTCTTGGAGTTATGGCCATTGAAGCTTTTAAATTTCTGCTTCAGAAGCTAGTGTAGGGGGGGGGGTGTATATCTTTGTGAGCTCCCTCAAAGTTTCTCTAGTTCTCTAGCCACAAAGGGCCATGTGAGCTAGCCTGTACTGCAGTGTCTGAATGTTGTCTGTCTATCTGTCAACTTTTCCTTTGAACGACAACTTCTGAAGAACTGGAAGACCTAGGGTCATGATATTTAGCCAGTAGGTACCTGGGTTGGGGTGCTATAAAGTTGTTTCATTAAAAAACCTTGACCTAGTTTCAAGGTCACAGGGGTCAAATATGTTCAAAAATTCAAGCAACAATATCCTTAGAACCATTTGGACTAGAGTCCTAATACTTAGGTATGTTATGTAGACTAGCTGTGTGAATCTTTTTCTGTATTACAGTAATTAGGTTAAAGGTCACCTTTAAGTGCTAGTCGTGGGGTCAAAGGTCAACATGGGTTAAAAAGCTGTAAAAATCTTCTTCTCAAGCTCCATAAGGCCCAGGGTCATGATATTTGGCCAGTAAGTACCTTAGGAATAGAGTGCTATCAAGTTTCTTCATTAAAATGACCTTGACATATTTTCAAGGTCACAGTGGTCAAATATAGTAAAAACTTCAAACAACAATATCCTAAGAACCATTTGGACTAGAGTCATGATACTTGGTTATGTTATGTAGACTAGCAGTGCAAATCTCTTTTTTTTTATCACAGTTATGAGGTCAAAGGTCAACTTTAAGTGCTAGCCGTAGTCAAAAGTCAACATGGGCCTCTTGTTTTATTAATATATAACCAAACTTGAATCCACATGGAAGCTTGTTTTTAGTTGAAATTTCAAAGGTGTGTAACAATAGTAATGATTCTAAACTAAATTTTAATCTGTTGAACATTTCTGTTGCAGTGTGTTATGCATGTATGTTTGTCAAACAAAATCAATTTCCTTACAGTGATAGACAGAGTCTGCCAGAGAACACACAAATTGGATAGGAAAACACTCACAGTGCAGACTTACCATGAAATGCTGGGCCACAGGGTCAGCCATAGAGGACCGACCTTTAAGGTCCCTTGCCCCTTGGTTATCAAAGATGCTGACCAAAATACAGTCCAGCACCTCATGTCATATGACATGACAAAACTGGAAAAACAGTTAAGTGACCATCACGCAAAACTACATTGGCCAGGAGACATTCCCGGGCACCTGAAGCTGGAGTGCCTGTTAACAGAGGATGTGGTGGATGGCAATAGACTTGTCATTTCCTGGGAGGAGGTGGTTCGAAATACTCTGAGCAATTTTCTGGCTCAGGCAGTGGTAAGTACACTGATACAAGTATTTAAAAACTAGAAAGGAGTTAAAAGTTAAATATTAAGAGTTATGTTTTTAGAAAGAGAACGCCCAAAGCTTACTTGATTTTATTGAAGGAATTCACTTGGACATTCCTGGCATTGTGTACATGTAGCACAAGATTTGTATCCCTCATCTGAAGCTCCTAGTTTCACTTTCTGTTTTAAGGTAATTGATGATTTTTTGCCTGGATTCTATTCCCATCTTTCATTCATGCTTATCAATTCACAATAATCCTAGACTCATTCATTTTGTCCTTCCAAACTAAATAAAATTCAGGGATAACAGGTACACTATGAAATTCAAAAGATTATTAACTTCTAATTTATTTTGATTTAAGATTTCATCTTTTGTTCAAAAGCAAAGGCTTTAATAGCTCCTATATACCAGTTCTTGTTATCGCTTTTTCTTAGAAAGTGCTGAATATAAATTGAGATACCTTAGATTGTTTGAAAAGTGCTGAATATAAATTGAGATACCTGAGATTGTTTGAAAAGTGCTGTATATAAATTGAAATACCTGATATTGTTTGAAAACTTGTGACTGCCATTTTTTTTATTGGTGATGTAGACAACAAAATCTCAAGTTGCCAAGAGATCTCCAGATGTCACAGGATCAATAAAGGACTCTTCAGCAAAGGTTTGTTTAGTAAGATGACCATGAGTCAGGTAACATTACTGCAGAACTAGTTTGAGATCTTTAACTTTGCACCCGGTGCAGGCTTGGGTAAAAAATATAAGATGCTTAATTTTTTTAAACAGTAAAATTATTTGAGGCACATTTCCGAACAAAAAGGGTCTTTTTACAGAATTCCAGACTAGTATGCTGCTCTCTCTTGACCTCAAGGTTAAAGGTCAAATAAGTGCAAATTTCTAAGGAAAATTTTGTCCAACCCCTAACCTTTGTAAACCATTAAAGATGTCTTGATAAAACTAAGTGCAGTTTATTTTCATCACATACAGACGATGGTAACGGTTCTGCAACTATTGGCAATGGTGCTGCAATCATATTACATGGCATGTCAATGTTTCATGCTTATTGAGTAAATGAAAAAGCATTAAAAAAAATATTTTTTACGTAGAGATTAATTTGCTGAGGATTTCTATACCATTGGTCATAACAGTGTGATAACTTTACCCTCTGTGATGAGATGTTATCCAATGAAATGACAAAGAGTCTTTCTCTTAGTGGTGTGTCTGTATGATAGAACTGAACTAGGTAAGAAAAGGGGCATAGGAAATAAGAATATTGTGAATCAGACTATGTTTAAATACTTGACTCAAAATACAAACACTTTTATATTGTAGAAGGACAGGGACCTGATCAAAGTCGATGACACCAGAGATCATTTCAGCTCTCCACGAGATGACTCTGAACATGTACCAGACATCAGTATAGTAATGCCAGAAGAAACCTTTCTGGCTCTTCAGTTTTTCTGCTGTGGATATGGATCAATGGATCAACAAGCTGTATGTTACAGAGGCGGCATGCTTCAGGTATCTTGCAATAAAAAGAGTGAAAAGAAGGTCATACAAACTTGCATTGAATCCAAGTTGAACCACATAGAGATAATGAACAAAGATGATGTCTCCTTCAGTCCAGCTGAGGAACCAAAAGTCAAAGGAACTATCGAACAAATTCACAAGTCTGTTGTTGGAGTTTTCTGCTATCAACTTAAAAAAGATGAACACAGCATGATCCATTTAATGACTCAATCCTACAGTCAGCTACAGACAACAAAGCACAAGATCTCATTGGGATTAGGCAGGATAAAGCAGACAGAAACACGGAGAAATAGGCTGTTTGACAACACACCACTTCAGCAAAACAAAGGGGACGGCACTTCAACAGATAGACACAGATTTAGTCAGTCATTCACTGCGAGCCAGTCATCATGGAAAACTCAATCTACGGCTGGTTATGGTAGTGTTAGTCCTAAAGACTTCACTACACCAGAAGGACTGTTAATACAAGTTTATCCTGGCAGTATCCTTCATCTTGACGTGGACTGTATTGTAAACGCTGCCAATGGCGATTTACAACATGGAGGGGGAGTGGCCTATGTGATATCTAATGCGGCTGGTTACGACTTTGAGCGGGAGAGTAGGGAGTACATATATAACCATGGACCCCTGAGAGTTGGAGAGGTGTGTACTACCACTGCTGGTAACCTGAAGTACAAGGGTGTTATTCATGCTGTCGGGCCAAGGTGGAATGACTATAGTCAGGACCAGAAGCAAACATGTTTGGCAGATTTACAGACTGCTGTCAAGAACAGTTTGGAGGAGGCAGACTTCCAAAAATACAAGGCTCTAGCAATACCTGCTATCAGTTCAGGTAACTCTATTTATACTGTACAGATGTAAAGATTATTAATGAACTCAAAATGAAATATAAGTCTGAAATATTAGATATTTATTAGATTTATTCTTACTTGTGCATGACCTGATAGGAACACTTCCCCATTTTATTTTGTCCTGTTACAGAGCAATTATTTTGAATTAGAACTTTATAGAACTTCTATGACCCTTTTTTTTTGGTCACCTGAGCTTTAGCTCAAGTGACCTATTGCTATCCGTCTTCGTCCGTCGTCCGTTAACATTTTACTTTTTCAACTTGAGCTGAAAAACTGGCAAAGGGATTTCATTAATATTTCATGGGAAGGTTACTGGCATCTCCCTGACCAAATGTTGTTATTTTTGGGGTCGATCAGAAATCCAATATGGCCGACACGGCTGCCATTTTGAAAAACTATTTCAAACTTAAAGTCAAGTTCTGCTGGGCCGATTGAACTGAAACTTTGCAGGAATGATCGACTCATGGGCCTGACAAAGTGTTGTTATTTTTCAGGTTGATCAGAAATCCAATATGGCCGACATGGCCGCCATTTTGAAAAACTATTTCAAGCTTAAAGTCAAGTTCTGCAGGGCCGATTGAACTGAAACTTTGTAGGAATTATCGACTCATGGTCCTGACAAAGTGTTGTTATTTTTCAGGTTGATCAGAAATCCAATATGGCCGACATGGCCGCCATTTTGAAAAACTATTTCAAGCTTAAAGTCAAGTTCTGCAGGGCCGATTGAACTGAAACTTTGTAGGAATTATCGACTCATGGTCTTGACAAAGTGTTGTTATTTTTCGGGTTGATCAGAAATCCAATATGGCCGCCACAACTGCCTTGTGAAAAACTATTTCAAACTTAAAGTCAAGTTCTGCTGGGCCGATTGAACTGAAACTTTGCAGGAATGATCGACTCATGGGCCTGACAAAGTGTTGTTATTTTTCAGGTTGATCAGAAATCCAATATGGCCGACATGGCCGCCATTTTGAAAAACTATTTCAAACTTAAAGTCAAGTTCTGCTGGGCCGATTGAACTGAAACTTTGCAGGAATGATCGACTCATGGGCCTGACAAAGTGTTGTTATTTTTCAGGTTGATCAGAAATCCAATATTGCCGACATGGCCACCATTTTGAAAAACTATTTCAAACTTAAAGTCAAGTTCTGCAGGGCCGATTGAACTGAAACTTTGTAGGAATTATCGACTCATGGTCTTGACAAAGTGTTGTTATTTTTCGGATCGATCAGAAATCCAATATGGCCGACACGGACGCCATTTTGAAAAACTATTTTGTTCTCAAATTGGTACATATTTCAACTACAAAAATAAATACTGTAGGACTCAGGTGACCGTTTAGGCCTATGGGCCTCTTGTTTTAAATATAACCTCAAGATTTAAAGGCATGATTGGGAAAAATCAACATGTTGTTGGGTACATTGTGATAATTAAGGCATACAAAGGATAATTTGTTATTGAACCATGCATAGCATAAAAATTCATTGAAAGAGAAAAAGGAGCAAGTTCTAATATTTTTAACTAAATCATTGATTATCGCGATCCCCTTACTGAACTAATTTCTATAGAAAATGTCATTATTTCCAATTGTTATATTTTTGTTATACCATATGGGTGTCTTAAATAAGTAATAATCCTCCTTTCTATACATTTCTTCTTTAGTGCTTAGTCTATGTCATGCATTTAAAACATCCTTCAGAAGGATGTTTTAAAGGCATCCGGCATCCGTCAACTTTTCCTAAAAATTGCTACTAGTCATAAACCACTTAGTAGATTTTGACCAAATTTGGTCAGAAGCATTCTGAGGGGAAGGGGAACAAATTTTGTTTGAATGGTGGGTCTGGCCCCCTGGGGCCTGAGGGGCGGGGCCCAATAGGGGAAATATAGCAAATTCTTTAAAATCCTTCTTCTTCTGTAGGAATGAAAGGATTTGTTCCATATTTGGTCTGAAGCATCCTTGGGGGAAGGGGAACCAATTTTGTATAACCTTGGGTCTGGCCCCCCAGAGGCCTGAGCGGCGGGGCCCAATATTGGGATCATAGCAAATTCTTTAAAATCCCTCTTATTCGGATTTGTTCCATATTTGGTCTGAAGCATCCTTCCGTGAAAAAGAACCAATTTTGTATAAACAAGGGGTCTGGCCCCCCAGGGACCTAAGGGGCGGGGCCAGAAGGGGGCAATTGCGCTATATTGATTTAAGCGACTTCTTCTCTGGAACTAAGGGATGGATATCAACCACATTTGACTGGAAGCATTCGTCGGTAGTGGAGATTCAAAATTGTACCAATGGTTGGGCTGACCCCCCAGGGGGCTGAGAGGCAGGTCCAAAAGTGAACAGTTTGTCTACATTGCTATTAACAACTTTTTCTGTAGAATTATGCCATTGATATCGATCATATTTGGTCAGAAGCATTCATGGAAGGCAGGGATTCAAAATTGTACAAATGGTTTAGGGTCTGGCCCCACCCTTTGAGACATAGATCCTGGGTCATAACTTTGAAACGGTTGAGATCGCCACCCCAGAACTACATATACAAATGCTTGGCATAAAGAGACGAAAGTAGTCATGGTATTAGAATAGACCCTGGGGTCTGACCGAACCGCTAGGGGCCTAGATTCTTAGTCACAGCTTGGAAACAGTTCAGATCCCCACCCTTTAACCATGCATATATATAATTGCTGAGTATAAAGAGATGAATGCACATTTGCTTCCAGGATGGCCTTGGGGTCTGCCCCACCTTTGGAGACTTAACCCCTGGGTCATAACTGCGAAATGGTTAAGATCCCCACCCCAAAAGTATATATACAATTGTTGGGCATAAAGAGACGAATGCAGTCATGATATTAGAACTGACTCCAGGGTCTGCCCCACCCTTGCAGACTTAACCCCTGGGTCTTAATTTTGAAACGGTTTAGTTCCCCACCTCAAGACTATAAATACAAATGCTTGACAAAAAGAGACTAATGCAGTCATGATATTAGAATTGATCCTGGGTCTGGCCACAACCCTACGGATCTAGTTTCTGAGTCACAGCTTGGAAACAGTTGAGATCCCCACCCCATAACCATACATTAAATTGCTGGGCATAAACAATCTAATACAGACATACTACAAGAATTTGCATTGGGGTCTGGCATATTCCCTTGGATCTCATTCGGAGAATATTTTGCCATGATTGATTACATATCCAGGTGAGCGTTACAGGCCCTCTGGGCCTCTTGTTTATTTTTAGCTCACCTGCCTGCAAGTGAGCTTATGCCATGGCGCGGCGTCTGGCGTCAATATTTTAAACAACTTCTTCTCAATAACCAATAGGCCTAGGGTGATGATATTTGGCCAGTAGCAGAATGTTATTGAGTGCTGCCAAATTTGTTCAAATGAATTACCTTCACTCATATTCAAGGTCACAGGGGTCAAATATGTTTAAAACCTTTAAACAACTTCTTCCCAATAACCAAGAGGCCTATGATAATGATATTTGGCCAGTAACATGCTGGGATGAAGGGCTACCAAGTTTGTTCAAATGAATGACCTTTACTTATATTCAAGGTTACAGTGGTCAAATATGTTTAAAACCTTTAAATAACTTTTCCTGAATAACCAAGAGGCCAAGGGTGATGATATTTTGCCATTAACATGCATGGATAAAGGACTATCAAGTTTGTTTAAATGAATGACCTTCGCCCATATTCAAGGTCAAAGGGGTCAATATATGTTTAAATCTTTAAATGACTTGTTCTGTATATCCAAAGGTCCAGGGTAATGATATTTTGCCAGAAGCATGCTGGGTTGGAAGACTATAAAATCTGTTCAACCTAATGTCCCTGTTCGACATTCAAGGTCACAGGCATCATATGTTTAAATCTTTTAATAGGTTCTTATGAATCAAACACTGATATTCTGCCTGTAGCTGTATTTAGTTCACTTTTAAGATTACAAGTGTGAGATTAATACCAGGAGAGCAATTCAGGCCCATTGGGCCTCTTGTTCATATTTCTAAGGGTTAGAGATGCCTCTTTTAGTATTAGTAATCCTTCTAAACTTTCAGCTTCTACTATATTCAATTTTGGCGCATCAAAATCTAAGAAGTCATCTAAAGTCATTTCTATAATTTCGTTATCAACAGTGGAGTATAATTTTTCATCAAAATGTTTTTACTTCTTTTAAAATATCATCTTGTTTTGTTATCAATTCTCCATTTTCCCTTTGCAGCTTTGGAATATTTTTGATGTAAAATTTCTTCTTTCTAAACTGAAAAATAATTTGTTGGTATTTCTCCTTCATCTATCCATAAAGCTTTTGCTTGAATTATACTTCCCTTCACCCTATGGGTTCTAATATTTTCTAATTCCTTCTTTTTCCTATCCAACTCTTCCAAATTTATATCATTCTGATTTTCAAACTTCTGAATTTCATCTATTAGGTTATTTTCTCTGAAGTTTATTTACTTATTATTAATGTAAATCTGTATCAGGAATATTGTTGATAAATTCAGGATTATATATGGGGATACAGTATTGATCTTTTATAGTTGCTATAGTATTATTGAAAAGGTTAAGATATTCCCGGTCATGCAACAAAGAGTTATTAAATTTCCATAATCCTTTACCTTTTTTGAATTGGCTAAACTTAAATGTAATTTTTGCCAAGGAATGGTCAGATCTATAGTCTGAATCAACATTATACATTGTATTACTTTGAATTAAACTTCCAGATACTAAAACAAAATCAAGCCTAGCTTGTTTTATTGAACTACTTCTTCGCCATGTGTATCTTTTTGTATTAGTATGTATTGCTTTCTAAAAATATCAACTAGATCTAAATTCTCTATTGTTTCTAAAAACACTTTCCCTAGCCTTCGTAGTGTCAATTTGTTTGTAATTCTTATCGTAATCTAGATCAGGATTAAGAACCAAATTGAAGTCGTGACATATTATACAATTGTCATTTTTAAAGTGATGAAAAGTTTTCTCAATGTTTTCAAAGAAAGCTGGACTATCAGAGTTAGGACCATAAATAATTATCAAAGTAAGTTTTCCCCCCTCAATTTTTAGCTCACCTGTCCGAAGGGCTAGTGAGCTTATGCCATGGCGCGGTGGCCATCGCCAATGGCCGTCGGCGTCCGTCAACTTTTCCTTTTAACGACTTCGCCTGAAGAATGGACAGGCCTAGAGTCATGATATTTGGTTGATGTCTTCGTTGGTAGGAGCCTGACAAAGTTTGAGAATGAAAATGACCTTGACCTACTTTCAAGGTCACAGGGGTCAAATATGTCAAAATCTTAAATCGAATTCTTCTGAAGAACTAAATGGTATAGAATCTTCATATTTGGCTGGTAGCTTCCTGGGATGGAGCCGGACAAAGTTTGAGAATGAAAATGACCTTGACATACTACCAGGTCACAGCTGTCAATTATGTCAAACACTTTTAACGACTTCTTCTGAAGAACGAAAAGGTATAGAACCTTCATATTTGGCTGTTGGCTTCATGAGATAAAGCCCAACAAAGTTTGAAAATGAAAATGACCTTGACGTACTTTCAAGGTCACAGCAGTCAAATATGTCAAACGCTTCAACAACTTTTTCTGATGAACTAAAAGGTATAGAATCTTCATATTTGGCTGGTGGCTTCCTTGGATGGAGCCCAACAAAGTTTTAAATTAAAATGACCTTGACATACTTTCAAGGTCACAGCGGTCAAATATGTAAAACACTTCAAACGACTTCTTCTGAAGAATTTAAAGGTATAGAATCTTCATATTTCGCTGGTGGCTTCCTTGGATGGAGCCCAATAAAGATTGAGAATGCAATTAACCTTGACTTACCTTCAAGGTCACAGCGGTCAAATATGTCAAACGCTTCAAACGACTTCTTCTGAAGAACTAAAAGGTACAGAATCTTTATATTTTGCTGTTGGCTTCCTGAGATAGACCCAGACAAAGTTTGAGAATGAAAATGACCTTGACCTACTTTCAAGGTCACAGCGGTCAAATATGTCAAACACTCCAAACAACTTCTTCTGAAAAACTGAACGGTATAAAATCTTCATATTTGGTTGATGGCTTCCTGGGATGGAGCCCAACATAATTTGAAAATGACCTTGACATATTTTCAAGGTCACAGCGGTCAAATATGTCAAACGCTTCAAACGACTTCTTCTGAAGAATTAAAAGGTATAGAATCTTCATATTTCGCTGTTGGCTTCCTTGGATGGAGCCCAATAAAGTTTGAGAATGATATTGACCTTGACTTACTTTCAAGGTCACAGCGGTCAAATATGTAAAAACTCTTTCAACGACTCCTTCTGAAGAACTAAAAGGTGTAGAATCTTTATATTTGGCTGTTGGCTTCCTGAGATAGATCCCTACAAAGTTTGAGAATGAAAATGACCTTGACCTTCTTTCAGGGTCACAGGTATCAAATATGTCAAAAACATCAAACGGCTTCTTCTGAATAATCAAAAGCATAAAATTATAATATTTCACTGGTGGCGTCCTGGGATAGAGCTCACCAAAGTTTGCGAATGAAAATGACCTCAACATACCTTAAAGGACAGAGATCAACAGCATTTTAAAGGATTTGTTCTTAAGAACCAAATAGAATGGATTCATAAGATTTGGCTGGTAGCTTTTTGGAATAGAGCTAACAATGTATGAGAAGGAAAATTACATTGACCTACACACAAGGTCACAGGGAAAAATATGTCAATTAACTTCTGAAGAAAAACCAAAAAGCATAGAATCTTATAAAAATATTTGGCTGGTAGTTTCAACAGATGGGGCCAACAAAGTTTGCGAGGGAAATATTTGTAGTGCAATATAATATTGAATGAGAATATTTTGCTATGACTGCTTAAATATTCAGGTGAGCTATACAGGCCTTCTGGGCCTCTTGTTAAATCCAGTGCCAAAAAGTTCCCTGTCAAATCCTTCTTTTCTTTCAGTACCTTCACTTCAAAGTTGTTATTTATCAAAACTACTACCCCTCTAGAATTAGATTTAAAAGAATTAAAATAACAATCAAAGCCCAATTCATTCCATATTAGATCCGATGCCGACTTTATAGTGCTATCTCACTGAAATACCATGTGGAAGGCACCTAGCAAAGCATTATTTCATACCAACAGATAGTTTATAGTACATTAACATCAAATTTGTTACTCAGTACAGTTGTAGTAATTAAACAAAGATCACATACTAACCACCATTTAATCCTCACACAGGTATATTTGGGGTGCCAAAGGAACTCTGTACCCAAGAGTACTACCGAGCAGTAAAGGAGTACAGTAAATCAAGACGGAGTCACTCGACCTTGACCGAGGTACACTTCATTGACAAGGACACACAGATGTGTAAACTGATACAGACGACCTTCACCAAATGTTTTGCTGGAAATGCTGGGTCAAGTAGCTTTGGAGCTGGCACTGGAGGTAGAAACAATTTCTCATCGGCTTTTATGTCTCTGTGGAATACTACCCCAGTTTTACAAAGGTCCAGCAGTGAATCTGCGAATGGAGATGGATCGTCTGTATACCCAGCAAGTCCACCCTTCATAGATCAACATAGAAACTTTCAACGTTCACCATCCCGTGGCCAACGTTTTAAGTATCAGATAGGGAATAATTGGACTGTACACATCGTCCATGGAAATATTGTGGAGATTGAGGCTGACGCCATTGTCAGTCCCGAGAATGTCCAGTGTGACAGTACAGGAAGTATTGCCAGGGAAATCGCTCGAGTAGCTGGACAAGTGTATGTAGATAATGACCAGTCAGAGCTAAGACTTCATCAAAGAAAACTGAAGCTGACGGAGGAACTTGACACTTTAGCGGGTCGATCTCACTTTAAGTATGTGTTACATGTGGTTGCACCTAAATGGGATGTCACTGCCGTCGCAGACCAGAGTAGTTACTGGGAGAACCTTGAAAAATCTTACAACAACATCTTCTCAAAGTTAGTTGAGAAACATCTGGATATTACATCTTTAGCATTACCAATTCTTGGAATTGGTAAGAAAGCATATTTCTTATTATTTCTAACTTAATCCAGGATCAATATAAGATATAAGGTCTTTCGGTATGTTTTAAGATTATTTTTGTGGAATTCTTTTCTTTACCATTTCACAGTAACCTTGTTTAAGTCTCAATTTTCACAAAATAAGTCATGGTACAAACATATGCAATTGTGTACTTTGTTATAGTTTGTTAATCAAAGTCTCTAATGTACATATTTATAGTATTTTTTTGTCAACAAATTTATACAATTTGAATTAATACAAATGTTGTGACCTTTGAAATTACAATGTTTCTCACATTTTAGATCATATTGAAATAGCTGACAAATTTTAACTCAAGCTTCTTTTGAATTCACAGAAAAACATACATTCATATTTCTCTTGAAATGTTCCCAGCCTGTGTGTTAAATTTCTGATACATACATACTATTAAAGATACAGTTAATATAAGTCAGTACCCAGTGAGCTTTAATGAGGTCCATGGGCTTCTTGCTAGTTACCTCTACTAAATTGGTTCAGTCACTACATGGACTATATCAATTCATTTATTTATTATAATTCTGTCAGAAATTTTGACAGGACATATTATGGTATGGGAAATTGAAGCATCCATCAATCATAACTTGCTTAAGTATCATTTAATTTTGATTAAACTTTATATGCATGTACATTATATGAACACCTAATCCAAAGGTCCAAGGTGTGCTAATTCAATACCGCCCCATCAGACATCTGTCTATTCATCCGTCTGTCCATCAACAATATCTCTGAATGACTTCTTCTCTTAAACCACTGGAGGTCTGAGGGACAAAGCCAAAAAGCCATATTGCTTTAAGCGAATTCTTCTCTGGAACTAAGAGAAGAATATCAACTAAATTTGACTGGAATTGAAGTATATCATCGCATTTGGTTGGAAGCATTCTCTAGTTGTGGGGATTAAAAATTGTACACAATGGGAAGGGCTGACCAAGGGGCTGAAGGGTTAGGCCTCAAAGAGATTTTAACTTGGAAATGATTAATAACCCCACCCTATAACCATATATTCAATTTCTGAGTAAAAGACAAATACACATCTAGTTCCAGGATTGTTCACAGGTCTGGCTCCACCCATGGAGACTTGGTCAGAGAGTCATCATTTTGAAATGGTCGAGATCCCCACCCCATTTCCATATTTACAATTGCTAGGCATAAGGAGACAAACTCAATCATAGCATTAGAATTGACTGTGGGGTCTGGCCCCAGGCATGGAGACTTAGTTTCTTGGCCATAACTTGAAAACAGTTGAGATCCCCACCTGATAACCATATATATATACACTTGCTGTGCATGATGAGACAAACACAATCATGATATCAGAATTTTCCTAGGAGTCTAACCAAACCCACAGAGACTTAGTCCGTGGATCAATACTTTGAAATAGTTGAGTTTCCAACTGTATAGATACAATTGCTTGGCATACAGACATGAACATAACCATGATGTGGTCTGCCCACACCTCAAAAGACTTACTTCCTGGGTAACATCTTGGAAACAGTTGAGATCCCCCCCACCATAATTACTAAAAAAGGGATTGCTTGGCACAAAGAAACACAATCATGCTAACAGTGTCTGCCTTGGGTCTGCTCCCGTACAGAGGGACTTAATCCCCGATTGAAACTTATGAGACCTCCACCCAAAGTACCAAAAATTATAATAGCTGAGCATGAAGAATGGATAAGGCTTTGCCCCAGGGAATGGAACTATCCGTAGGAATTAATATGTGATATTTGCCATACAAAATGAGAATATGATGTTTACCATACCATTACTTAAATATCCAGGTGAGCAATACAGGCCCTCTAGGCCGCTTGTTTAAAAGTCTTAAAGGATACATGATCTATATTTATTCCTTCAGCTTATTTTGGTTAAGTACAGTATGTTTTCTTGACCTTTCACCACATTCCAGGAATAGTTCTCAACTTTACTGAGTTAAATTACACAGTACAAATTTTGTTTCTTTTCTTTACCTTTCCATATTTTCATACATCTAGTTACAATATTGCATCAGACGGATTTTAAGTATGTTATATTGGCAAAGGACGTGTGTATATTGTTATGCCCTATGACACTCTTGTTAAATTTAAAAAGTTGGAATATCTCTTGATATTCATATTTTGCTTGAAATATAAACATTCCTCTTATTAACAGAAAGAGTTAAGGAATTATCCTACTCCAATTTTAACTATCAGGAGAATAATGGTTAAGACCTTGTCCAAGAAGACACGGTATATCTGCAATGTTGATCTGGCCGTGATTCAAAAAGTAATTGTAACATCTTATATTTATTTTACCAACAGGTGCAGTTGAAAACAATGCTACTCCAATTAACATTATCTGCAGATTTATAGCCATCATTTGTAAAAGGTATGCAGAGAAGACTTCATCAAGGAAAACACTGTATTTCTGCAATGATGATATTGTAGCTGTACTTGCATTGAGGGATGCTTTTGGAAAAGACTTCAACAAAAGCAGTGATGGATCAGAGGATGACAAGAAGGGTCAGAGTGACACTGACATGGCTAGACTTGACCGAGGGGTAGGTTTGGAGGTTACAGAGAACTGCTGTATCTGTATAGACACTATGACTGAGCCTAAGAAGCTGTCGTGTGGTCACATGTTCTGTAGAGAGTGTATAGACCAGCAGTTTAAGTACAAGCCAGCCTGTCCCCAGTGTGGAGCTGTCCATGGGAAGATCACAGGGGACCAGCCACCGGAGATGATGACCATAACTACTACCAAGTTGCATGGGCCAGGTGGCTCCTTGCCAGGTTATAGTGGATGTGGTATCATCAACATCAGATATCACTTCCCTGCTGGGAAACAAGGCGTGAGTATGACTCAAACTGGAGAAATTTCTATTCTTTAGAGCTTTATTTAGGAAGTATAGATATTATAAAAATAGAAAACTGATTTTTAAATCTTGATATTGGAGCGGCATTACCGTATGGGTTAGCCTTTTCTATCTGTAAGTCTACCCATCTGTACATATTATGGTTAGATTTTGCATTTGACTCCTTTACCCTAATACTAAAAGTCCTAAACTTATTAAACTTCATATATATAGATACACATTGAGGAGTACTACACTTAAATGTTATTTTTAGGTCACTGCTACTCCTAGAGAGATAGTTAGGACTGTTGACTATTACTTCAGATAGGGAGTGAGTAACGACTATTGAATATTACTTCAGATAGGAATTAGTTTGATCTATTGACTATTACTTCTGTTAGGGAGTTAGTTAGGACTGTTGACTATTAACTCTGATAGGGAGTTAGTTATGTCTATTGACTATTATTAATTCTGATAGGGAGCTAGTTAGGACTTGAACTAGAACTTCTGATAGGGAGTTAGTTAGGACTTTTGAACATTAAATCTTGATAGGGAGTTAATTAAGACCATTGACTATAAGTTCTGATAGGAAGTTAATTATGTCTTTTGACTATTAGTTGTGATAGGGAGTTAGTTATGTCTATTAACTATTACTTCTGATAGGGAGTTAGTTTGGACTATTGACTATTACTTCTGATAGGGAGTTAGTTAGGACTATTGACTCTTACTTCTGATAGGGAGTTAGTTAGAACTGTTGACCATTACTTTTGATAGGGAGTTAGTTAGGACTTTTGACCATTAACTCTGATAGGGAGTTAGTTTGGACTATTGACTATTACTTCTGATAGGGAGTTAGTTAGGACTATTGACTCTTACTTCTGATAGGGAGTTAGTTAGAACTGTTGACTATTACTTCTGATAGGGAGTTAGTTAGGACTTTTGACCATTAATTCTGATAGGGAGTTAATTAGTTGGGGCTTTTGACCATTAACTCTGATAGGGAGTTAATTAAGACTATTGACTATTAGTTCTGATAGGGAGTTAAATAAGACTGTTGACTATTAGTTCTTATAGGAAATAGTTAGGATTGTTACCTGACTCTCTATATGAGAAGTGATAAAACAAGTTTTGACTATCTTCATAGTGAAAATAGCGTTATTCATATACAGCCATGAATTAGTCGAAACTATTTTCATGGGAAGCTCTCGAACTAACACACATTTCCTTAGCAAAGAACGTGCCCAAGCATGTATTTGATCTCGATTAAAGTGCTCAAGAAATATCAGAGCAGCTAGGGTTTACTGGAATTAGTTGGAAACAGATTCTTGTAATACCAAAAATGTAATAAAGACTGCGGTAAAAATTCTAACGGCATATTGCGATGTGAAGGAATCTCCATTGATGAACTTGTGTTGCATTTTGTCATGTGTATACAAATGTAGTCCATACAGATTATTGTAAGTAACAAAACAGTTAATTCATGCCCTTTAAGTCAATAGTCAAAACTGTTTTTCTCGAGGTGTTAGGACAAACCTGGTGAACTATTTCCCAAGGCCGTAAGTAAACTGTTGACTATTACTTCTGATAGGGAGTTAGTTAGGACTGTTGACTTATTCTGATAGAGAGTTAGCTAGGACTGTTGACTATTACTTCTTATAGGGAGTTAGTTAGAACTGTTGACTATTACTTCTGATAGGGAGTTAGTTAGGCCTGTTGACTTATTCTGATAGAGAGTTAGCTAGGACTGTTGACTATTACTTCTTATAGGCAGTTAGTTAGGACTGTTGACTATTACTTCTGATAGGGAGTTAGTTAGGCCTGTTGACTTATTCTGATAGAGAGTTAGCTAGGACTGTTGAATATTACTTCTTATAGGGAGTTAGTTAGGACTATTGACTTATTCTGATAAGGAGTTAGTTAGGACTGTTGCCTATTACTTCTGATAGGGAGTTGGTTAGGGCTGTTGACTTATTCTGAAAGGGAGTTAGTTAGGTATGTTGACTATTACTTCTGATAAGAAGTTAGTTAGGACTGTTGACTATTACTTCTGATAGGCAGTTAGTTAGGACTGTTGACTATTACTTCTGAAAGGGAGTTAGTTAGGTATGTTGACTATTACTTCTGATAAGAAGTTAGTTAGGACTGTTGACTATTACTTCTGATAGGCAGTTAGTTAGGACTGTTGACTATTACTTCTTATAGGCAGTTAGTTAGGACTGTTGACTTATTCTGATAGGGAGTTTGTTAGGACTGTTGACTATTACTTCTTATAGGGAGTTAGTTAGAACTGATGACTATTACTTCTTATAGGGAGTTAGTTAGGGCTATTGAAAAAGTTTGTACAACCCTGACAAAGTCATGCTTGTTCCTCAACTGCTTTCCTATGTTTGTAGCCAGATCATCCTACACCAGGTAAACACTACCAGGGTATCACCAGACCTGGGTTTCTTCCTGACAACGAGAAAGGTCGTCTTGTGGCCAAATTGTTAAAAATAGCCTTTGACCGGAGGTTGGTGTTCACCATTGGAAGCTCAAGGACAACTGGGAATGATTGGGTTGTGACCTGGAATGACATTCACCACAAAACAAGTATGGACGGGGGCCCAGAAGCGTAAGCTTACAATATCACATTGTAAAAAGTCTATGTATCTAATAAGTGATAGCTATACATTGAAGTTTAGCTTAATTAACGATAGATTCTGATTTGTTCTGGATATATTTCACTACTTAAATAATAGTGTTATGCTTTAATTTTAATATAACAGTTCTGAAATTCTGAAGCATTCTAATGATAAAGTGATGGATTTAAAAATATGTTTCAGACTTAGTTTGGGCTTATAATAGGTGGCTCCGTTAAGTCTAACTACCATAACATTTGATGCTATTAGACTAAGGATCCTCATACCTCTTCCAAGTCTTTACTTACATTGGAAGGTTTTTGTTTAAACGTGACTGTAGATTTGATAAATGCTTTGTAAAAGAAAAACCATACATACCTTGCAGGCCTTTTATGATAAAATAATGGATATGAAATAAAAAAAAAAATTAGCAAATTATGTTCCCTTTTTAAAACGTGTTTTCTATAGCTTTATTTAATTTTGTTTAAGGTATGGATACCCGGACCCAAGCTACCTAGATATGGTGTTGTATGATTTGAAAACCAAAGGAATCACAAAAAAGTCCCTCGATGAACCATGAGTGTGGAGCTCGTGGAAAATATTTAATTGTCTCCAAAAGCACAAGTGTAAATATTGGTTCATTCTGCCATACAATTGAAATATTTATTAACAGGAAAACCATTAAATCAACACAAATCATATACTTTTACATCAGAAAACTTCGAGAATTAGTAACGCAATATTTGATGCCAGGCTCTAGCGACGTCAATTTTGACCACAAGGCATGCGCCTACTTTCACAGGGGTCAAATATGTCAAAAACTTTTAACGACTTCTTCTGAAGAACTAAAAGGGATAGAATCTTTATATTTGGCTGGTAGCTTCCTGGGATAGTGCCTAACAAACTTTGAGAATGAAAATTAGTTTGACCTACTTTCAAGGTCACAGGGGTCAAATATGTCAAAAACTTTTAACGACTTCTTCTGAAGAACTAAAAGGGATAGAATCTTTATATTTGGCTGGTAGCTTCCTGGGATAGTGCCTAACAAACTTTGAGAATGAAAATTAGTTTGACCTACCTTCAAGGTCACAGGGGTCAAATATGTCAAAAACTTTTAACGACTTCTTCTGAAGAACTAGAAGGGATAGAATCTTTATATTTGGCTGGTAGCTTCCTGGGATAGTGCCTAACAAACTTTGAGAATGAAAATTAGTTTGACCTACCTTCAAGGTCACAGGGGTCAAATATGTCAAAAACTTTTAACGACTTCTTCTAAAGAACTAAAAGGGATAGAATCTTTATATTTGGCTGGTAGCTTCCTGGGATAGTGCCTAACAAACTTTGAGAATGAAAATTAGTTTAACCTACTTTCAAGGTCACAGGGGTCAAATATGTCAAATGCTTCCAACGACTTCTCCTGAAGAACTGAAAGGTATAGAATCTTTATATTTGGCTGGTGGCTTCCTTGAATAGAGCCCAACAAAGTTTGAGAATGAAAATTAGTTTGACCAGCTACTTTCAAGGTCACAGGAGTCAAATATGTCAAATGCTTCAAACGACTTCTTCTGAAGAACTGAAAGGTATAGAATCTTTATATTTGTTGATGGCTTCCTGGGATAGAGCCCAACAAAGTTTGAGGATGAAAATGACATTGACCTTCTTTCAAGATCACAGGGGTCAAATGTGTCAGACACTTCAAACAACTTCTTCTGAAGAACTGAAAGGTATAGAACCTTAATATTTGGCAGGTGGCTTCCTGGGGAAGAGCCAAACAAAGTTTGTGAATGAAAATGACCTTGACTTACTTTCAAGGTCACAGCAATCAAATATGTCAAATAGTTCAACCTACTTCTTCTGAAGAATTAAAAGGCATACAATTATAATATACAATATAGTGGCTTTGATGAATAGAGCTAACCAATTGGAAAAGGAATATGACATTGACCTACTTACAAGGTCACAGGGAAGTATATGTCAAGCAACTTCTGAAGAAGAATCGAAAAGCATAGAATCTTATAAGAATATTTTGCTGGTAGTTTTAACAGATGGAGCCAACAAAGTTTTCGAGGGAAATATTTTTAGTGCAATATAATATTTAATGAGAATATTTTGCTATGACTGCTTAAATATTCAGGTGAGCAATACAGGCCCTCTTGGGCCTCTTGTTGTTGTTGTGCTTTTGTAATTTGTGAAAGAGTTAAAGTTATATGCTACCTTATACATCATACCTCTGATTTATATTAAAGTTAAGTTTATATGGTACAAAACATAATACACCTATGATTTGTATTAAAGCTAAGGTTATGTGCTACATTAAATATTACCTGAATTCATGTAATTAATGTTCAAGTTAAGGTAAT